GACAAACTATTTTGATAAATGACTATCTTGTTTACCCTGTAGTTCGTTACTTGCCTGGTCCAATATACACCAATACACTGTTACTTACCTTACACCCTTATCTTTAGAATTCAACACCCGGTCCAAAATACACCAACACATTGTTTTCAGCTCCCCTGATTTTAGAACATTAGACAAGGTCATAAGTTCACCCAGACCTTGAACAGCTGTTGAGGTCAAGGTCACATTGGACTGAGAGGCTGCTGACAACAGAATTTTCAGGCAGGAAGATGTCAATCCTGAGACAACTTTGGGGGCTGCATAATGAAAAGAAAATATGTCAAGAATGTTAAATCATGTTTTAAATTCCTTGATTATTTTTTAATTTTCATATATCCATGTATTTATAAAACAATTGAGAAGAAACAATAAATCTATTTAAAAAAGTCAAAATTTGGAGTATAATTAGTTGTTCATACCCCTGCCTCCAATAAAATCTCGAGAAGAACACAAAAACTTCACTAGCATTTCTATTATTTGTTTTCTCTGATTTGTCTGAAAGAAAAAAATATAAGTACATGTATTATAATAAAATACATTTTATGTTAATCACTGACTTTTTCTACTTATTGCAAATTATAAACAAATACCTTAATACCTATTGTCAATTATATAAATATATGACATATATTAATGACAGTTTTTAGTTCACTGATGGTTATCTTAAGTTTGGAGGATAATCAGCTGCATGATCCCTGACCCCTCCATCAGTTGTTAACATTGATAAAATGTCTATTCACTGCTGTATGGAATTGGTTGAATGTTAGACACTTACCCCAGTAAATTTGTTGTACATATCCTCCAGTACAGGCACCATCTGTTGTATAACAACACAGCAAGCATGGTCAGAGCCCTTAGCGATGGCAAGAAATAGCTTACAGGAAGGTTTAAACAATCGCAGGTCCTCATCCGAAAAGTGGCGCTTACAGTCTGAAAAACGAAACAATTACATTTATTACTTAAAATATAATTATAAACAAAACAGAATTCTCAGCAATACACGACAGAGGTATACACTGCAGAGTAGAACATGCTTATAATGAAATGACACTTACAATGAAGTGATTTTCATTCCCCATGGATTTAAAATATACATGTATTGTGAACTTAACAAATATAATGATTTATATTTATAATGAGGCAAAATTGTCCATCCCTGGGACTTTGTTATAAGCCTGTTTTACATTGTCTCTATTTCATATTCAAAGCAATTTTAGAGTAAGTTTAGTTTAACTCAAAAATCTTTATAAAACAATATACTTTATTTTTACTGAGTTTCATATACCCAGTAAAAGATTTTAAAGATGTGAACAAAAAAGGCTAAAAAATAAGAAAATATTAAATAATAAATAAATTGGACTTTAGGAACTGTACAACCTTGCATGACTTCTTTTATAAAAACATCAACTTCTGAGCTATCTGTTGAGAGTCCCACCTACAAATAATAAGTAACTATAAACTGTTTAAATATGTGCAAGTAAAAAAACATGTAATTCACTGCAATATCATCTATTTTATGACTATTGTCATATATGATTTAAGTGTACCTTATCCCTATACTGAAATACTCTGAATCTGTGTACCTTATGTTTTTAATATATCCATTTACCTAAGGAGAAAGAGCTATCGATATCGCTGCCAGGAGTGATTCTGCAGCAATTTCTAATATTTTAAGATTTATATCTGTTTACCTGAGAAGAGAGAGCTGTTGATATTGCTGTCAGGGCTGATTCAGCAGCAATCTCTATTTCTGGAGACTTAGGGGTTGTTATCTGAAGAGATCATAAGGTTGTAGGGAATAACTTGATGAAATTGTACAATTTAAATATTAATAGTTTTTTTGCCAAATGAACTCAATGAAAAGTTGTGTATAATTTCATTCAAGATGTACATGTATTCTATTCCAATAATTCAATTTGCAAGATATATGTATAATTTACATTTTTGTTGAAAACAATAATCATAAAGCATTTTTACCAATTTTTTTTTTTAGCACATAATTTTTTTTTTGTTGAAAATAACTTGTTTCTCTATGCTACATTCATCATATACTCTAAATCCATACAAGAATGCTCTAGTCCAGTCTGTTGTTGGAGTATAACTAGATTTGACCAAAATGGTCCATTCAGATTTGATATGGAAAATCAGTGGGGACAGTGTAGTATATATATAGTCTTTGTATGGGTATAACTGACCCGTTAGTGCTTTAATTTACAAAGTATATAGACTAAACATATATATGATGTAAGTCAAACTAATTCTATAAAATCAGTCATTATTTTTATACGTACTTCCTGTTTAATACACCTGAACAAAGGTCCCTGGAATTCCTTTATGCACTTAGCACCATATACCATAGCACCTGCTGACTACAATAAACATATACTGTCATTATCTGAGACACACTACCACATAATATAATGGTTATCAAATTCATTCACCTAATTTCTTTCATAAATATTTGATCCTAACCCTCTTAAAATGAAATTATTATAGTAAATTTTTACAGGTAAAACTGCAATATATGTTCAACATGTTTCAAACATATTTACCATAAAAAAAAAAACAAGCAATATGTATATATAACCTTTACTCAACATATGTTTAAAACAAATGTTTACTACAAAAAACAAGAAACATTTATGTAAAACATATCTAGAAGTTCACATTATAAGAAAGACTTTGTTAAAAATATGTTTTATATAATGAACATTTCAGTAGGCATACATATACATTATTTTACCCAATGGCATGAATTCTGACACAAGTTCAACATCTGTTTTGAATGTATGATGAACACTTGATAAGCATACTGCCAAAACTTCGCATGTAATATATTTAGTGCCTATATATTTTTTAGGTATTTATTTTTTCCCTTTTACTTGGTAGGAAGTTGATTTACCAGTGTTAACAATGAGTCTAGGACAGCACTCCCTATGTCTGATTGTAGTTTGTCCAGGAGTAATGGAACACACAGAGGTCCAAACTCCGGACAGGCCGACAGACATCCACGTAATGCGAGGATCAGATCCTGTCTGGTGATCCCATACTCGTCATTGGGTGGCTGTAGTAAAAAGAAATATATAAATAAAGCAGTATTCATCTGATTAATGTATGGAAACATCAATCTTCATCTATTAAAGTACATTTAAGGAGAAGAAGTTCTGTTCATCTTTTAATTGTTATAAAAGGGTCGTGTTTTAAACTTCTGAAATATAAATAATTAGAATATAGGATGTTCTTACTGGTGTAAAATCTATAGGAAAGTAACACGACGTGACTTCAAACATTTCCTCCACAAAGGGCCCTACAAAATGGACAACAAAAACATATACATCTCTTGACCTCTGGATCAGTGGTGTGACATTTTTTTTTTGTAATGCAGGACAGCATGTACGGAAGGTCCAAGACAAATCCCACCAAGAATTCAGAGGAGTAAACCAAGCTCAGATCCTTCACAATTAAATTTAATTAATTAATTAAATTAATAAATCTCAAGGAACTGTTACACATATCACCTCTGTTTTCTATGATGTTTTGATTTACAACATATTAGATGTTTTTTTTTCTAAACCATACAATCGCAGGTTTATTAGCATAAGCAATTAATTAACTCCAATGACCCCCAGCTCCCTTGACAAACATAATTATATAATCACTTGTTTCCGGTAGCAATGTCTACCTTTGATACAACATTAAAAAAATTTATTTCTATAAGCTGACAATTACAAGAAAATAAACATATGATAAAGAAATGAAAATGCACACAACAAATAAAACAGAAATTCATATACATGTACTCCTTAGATGGAATAATTTTTTTTGTTTAGTTGTTGTTTTTATTGAAAAATTTCCTCCACTGCATACAATAATTTCCTGACCAGTCCCCCATTGTTAGATTTATTGTATAATGCACTGTCATAATGCTATATGAAACAGACATTTAAATCTATTTTTATTTCACTTCATAAGCTGGCAAAAGAAGAAGGAAGTAAAACTGGTAAAACTTTACAGAAGGCTGACTAGAAGATTTGTAGACTGATATCAGCCCACAGGATTACTTAAACCTTGCACAACGGTAAGTTCTGTAATCTATTCTATCAAATGAAATTAAATGTTGTTTATAGTTCATCACAGGACAGTAAATACTGCCCATCAACCCACACCCCTCACCAGAATCTTAAGATGCTCTTACAGGGAAATAATGAACACCACCTGAAATGGCCCCTTATTTATGGCACCTCTAGAATCTAGTACATACTTAATGAAGATGCTTCCATATTGATTGTTATCTAAAAAATTGTACACTTGGTCTTGCTGATAAAAAAAAATCAAACAAGAGGCCCATGGGCCACAATAGTCACCTGAGTAAACATTTGAATATTAAAAGAAAACTCATTGATTTCTGAGCATATACATTACACTATATAAATATGAGCCTGAGGCTCTAATGTGGCTCCACCCTAGCCTAGAGGTTCATCATTTGAATTAATTCTAATCTTGTAATACATGAGAAAACTATCTTTCATATCTACATATGAAAATAATGATTTGTACTGTAGCTCTGCTTCTTAAAGCAATATGAGATGTAACTTTGATGTCAGAAATTGTTGTTGCAAAATTGTAATTAACTATTTCAACAACAGAAAAAAAGAATGTATATAAACTTCTGTTGTTCATATTTGCAGTGAAAGAACTAATATAAGCTTTGACTGATTGAAGCAAAATTACTTTATTGTCATCCTGTACAATATTGATTTCTTATTTAATACTATACATTCGATTATACAGAGGTGTTTCTTCTGAAACAATTTAATACTTTATTGTAGTCTTATTGATCATAAACTTAAGGTTTAAGTTACATACAGTCCCTGAAACGTTCTACTTTCCCACTTGAACGGTGAGCGAACGCTGAACGAACGGTGAACGAACGCAGAGCGAACGGTGAGTGAACGATGTGTGAACGCTGAACGCAACTTGGTGAACGATGTGTGAACGGTGAACGGTGAGCGAACGCAGAACGCGAACGGAGCGCAAACGCGAGCGCAAAGTGAACGGTGAACGAACGGTGAACGCAAGATGAACGATTTATTCGGAATGCCTCTTATCTTTTCCTTGCATTGAAACCATTATATTGTATTCGAATGCCTGGTGCGAAAAAAATAAAAAATAAATAAACAAATCAATGAAAATTGTCCTAAGAAAGACGATACATGCACATTAATTAAAATTATTATTTTAAGTTTCTTACAATATTTTCTGCACACGTGTACGATGTTTAAATTCAACTTTTTGATAACACGATTTTTATCGCTGTAAAACATTGTAATTCTTACCGAACGCTGTAGTATGATATATGAAATTAATCTAGTTGTAAAATAAATATGTTTATTCTTATTTGGTATATAAAACCATTACAAATAATGTGGATTTTAGAAGAGAAAACTACGGACTTATAGAATGAATTACAACGGTTGTAACAACCATACAAGGCGATTCCGTGTAAAATAATGAGAAAAAACATATTTTACAAAGGTATGTGGACGTATTGCATAAATACACTCGTAGTTTAAAATTTCAATGCAATAATATATTTATTGTTAGTTTTATTTTTTATGATGATTTACTGAGCAGACTTCTACATGTATCTGTAGACATTTCCCGGCTGTGATTATACTCGGACAAGACCATACAAAGAGGCAATCATATTATTTGTTATATATTAAATTTTCACAACTTGATATTTAAGTAATATGCTGTCATAGTTTTTATTAAACAGACAAATCAGAGAGAGAGAGAGAGAGTTTTAGCCCCCCCCCCCCTTCCTCAAATGTTTGTACATATAACAAACAAAAATTCTAAATTTTTTTCTAAATATATCAGGCAGTGAAAGTAACCATTTTTTTTTTTATCAACAAATCCATTTGTTTTACAGTCATAATCGGTTTTTATTTTCCTACTTCAAGTTCACACGAAGTCCACGTGCTTGACCTGTCAATCAAAATCATTCGACACTGTGCAGGTGTGAAAATCTCGTCACATCGAAGGCAAAGTGTTAGTATTTCCAAGAAGTTTTAACATTTTTCTTATCATTTCTAGATCTGATTCCAACATTTCTAAAATAAATAAATGAATAAAATACATTGGGAATAAATACTTGGAATCATTAAGCCGCTTGAATTTGAAACATACTCCCTGCCAATTTAAAATATCACCGCCGGCACATGTATATTTTGAACTACTGTTGTTTAATGACTTTGTTTAGATGCCTGTTTGTTTTGAGACTTCGTGCTACAAAACACATTAACTTCTTTTTAAATGTTAATTAAAATGTACTGGATATACTAACTAAGTAACCGATTTAGGGGGAAGGAGGGGGGGGGAGGGGCTCTTAATAATATCGAATGACAAACATATAAAGTTACGGTGAAAAATATCATTACTGGAGAATCACCTTGGTTATATAAATGATAATCATGTTATAAAGGCATTTCTCTCTCTCTAATTAAAGACTTTATATATGTAAAGTAGAAAAAAATTCTTTAATGTAATACATTTTAAACAAATATTTTTTTAAACCACACTATCAATTTAATTCGCTCTAAAGATACTTAATTAATTGGATATCCGCAGTACTGTTTATCATTCTCAGAACAAGTTTTAACATGTATTTCTGTATTATTTGAAAAAAATGTGATAGAAATAAATATTTTCGTATTTTTGCTGCAGTTGGTAAATTAATTAACTTCGATTATTATCTATCCATTAACGATTTGTCTTCTTTAACATAACAACAAAATGTTGCAGTGCTTGAAGTATCAGTATTTTGCCCGTATTTAAATTTAATTTTTCAGCATCGTTCTACATAGGTACATACATGTACTTATAACAACATTTATTTTCCAGATAAATTTTATAACCTAACAGCTAAGTTAGAATAATAAAAATAAATATTGTAGATAAAATTTTTTCCCATGAACTAATGATTCTTTATTAAATTCAAAACCTGTAAATCCTTACTTAAAAAAAGATAAGTCCTTTCACTTCGGAGTTCCGAATGACACTGGAGACTGAACGATAAGTGAACGCTGAACGCAAGGTGAACGCAAAGTGAACGAACGAAGAGCGAACGGTGAACGCTTTGTGAACGGTGAACGCGAGCGCACGGTGAACGCTGAACGCAAAACTGTGAACGGAGAGCGAACGGTGAACGCACGGTGAACGAACGGTGAACGCACGCTGAACGAACGGTGAACGAACGGTGAGCGAACGGAAAAATGGGAAAGTAGAACATTTCAGGGACTGTAGGAATTTATCATAATAACACATTTTAAGAGCAAAATAAAATTCTCAAAAATGCAGCTCATATTGCTTTAAGAAGAAAAAATGGGTCATGATTTCATTGCCTGAAAAATACAACATTATTTCAATTCTTATACTGTATACAGGGTCAACCATGGAAGCCTTGGGCACCCCCCAACACTGGCTGATCTGTGACAATTGTGAAGAAAACTGTGTATATTACTGCAACTCATGTAATAAGAGATTGTGTGACAAGTGTCATACAGAGCACCACACAAATGAAGACACCAAAACCCATGACCTTGTCCTGTACCAACTACGACAGAGGAGTCTCGGGGAGGAAAAATGTCCCATCCATCCAACCAAGGATCTAGATATGCTGTGTGAAGAATGCCAAGTCGCACTGTGTTACAAATGTTCGATGACTGAGCCACATACAGGCCACCATTTTATTGACCTTGAAGAGATTTCTATCAAAAATTTTGAAATGTACGAAAACGAGTTGTCAAGGATCCAAGATCATTTCCTTCCAGCGTCCCATGAGGTTCTGAATGAAATCAAAGAGGATGTCCCAAAAGTAAAGAAAATGGTTGATTTGATTAGAGAAACCATGACATCTGAAGCTAACACTCTCAAAAGTTTAGTGGACAGAGTATTATCTGAGAACATTTCTGAACTAGACAAAATAGAAGAAAGAATTCTGCATGATTTGACTGCCCAAGACAAGACTTTTACTAGTTATATTTCATATTTACAAGAGCTTCTTAGGAAATACCAATCAAAACTAGCAAAGAAAAACCTGGAAGATTTAATTTCAAAACAAAGAGAAGACAAAGCTGAGGAGATAGACCCAATCCCAGAAACATTTAAACCTGTTCTTCCAATTTTTACTGCTGGCCAGTTTAATGAAGATGATATAAAGAGGTTACTTGGTAAAATCAGCTTTCCAAAAGTTACAAAAGCAAGAAGACATGTTAGAATTGAAAGCAAAAATGAAGAAGTTGATGTATCCTCTCAAGATGATTCCAAAGAACACCAGAAAGGAAGAGTAAACCCGAGACCTGATAAGCAAGTGAGCTTCTCCGTCTCTAAGCTCAGGGAAATCATGGTCCCTCGAATAAGTTTTCTTTTCCACATCTCCTTGGAGACCTCTAAAAGGTTCTGGGTCAGCAGCTTTGATGAATATCTTGTCCAGACAGATCTTCAGGGGAACCTGCTACACAAACTTCAGATCACTGGTGGGATTATGAGAGTCGGTTGTCACACAGTCACAAAGGAAGGGGATCTCTTGTTTGCAGACAGAAAGAACAAGTGCATCAACAGAGTGACACCAGACAAGATTGTCACTGAATTGTTCACCACAGAGGACTGGGAACCCCTCGGGATTTACTCCTCCCGCATTAATGGGGACATTTTGATGGGAAAGAGTAAAGATAAAGACAGAGAGGCCAGGGTGACAAGGTACAGCAAGGTCGGGGTGAAACTTCAGGACATCAGAAAGAAACACTGGATAAAAACACTATATGAATTCCCAGCCTACCTAACCGAGAATAACAACGGCGATATCTGTACATCAGACATTGAAAAGGAGTCTGTGGTGGTGGTTGATAAATCAGGAAAACATCGATTCTCCTACACAGGTCAGCAGTCCGAGTCCTCTTTCAGCCCTAGAGGAATCTGTACCGATGCTTTTAGTCACATCTTAGTGTGTGATGAAAACGGTAACTCTGTACATCTTCTGGATCAGGACGGTCACTTCCTGTCTCTTCTGATTAATCAAAATCATGGACTAAACAGTCCCTGTGGTCTGGGATTGGATGAAGAGAACAATCTCTATGTTGGAGAGTTTGACAGCAACACAGTGAAAGTGTACACATACCTAGATCAATATTAAACTGATATGAAACTGAGAATCTGGGGGCAGGTGTGATCATAATAGTGAAAAGATGTATCCCTTATCATGGTGTTGCGTCACCAATACATCACGTTCAATCATCAAAAACAACATACATAAAAAAATCAAAAGTCACTCAATATGACGTAAAATGGTCATGTATTCAGATCTGATTTTTGAATGTAATACTTTAGTTTTTATTAATTATTGAAATTGCATTTTCTTTGAAAAAATAAATGTTTCATACATCATGTTTATTCTTCTTTGTCTTCAAAGTGTTATGAACTTTCAGAAATTAAGCAGCTCTTTAAATAATCTACTTATCATATTTTTGACTTTTTCACAACAAAAAAAAATCAAACTATAAGTTTTAATCTTTGGTAAAAAAAAAAAATTATTACAATGTACCTTTTTACAGAAATTCTTTAAAAATTCTAAGTACAAAAACTGTCATGATATTTGTGTTTTTCTTCATGTATGAACACTTTCATGAAACTCACTTTAGATTTATCTTCTTAAGAAAAATTTAATAAATATATGTTCCTTGTCATCTAGTATTTCAGGCATACAGCTATTAAACTCTCGAACAATGTATGCAGCATGTATTCAAGTCATTATCATAATAAATGCTAAGAGGAAGTGAATAAATATCTTGAAATATATCTTAACAACTGAACATGGAGACATGAACATTGATTTCCCTGCTACTTGTGTGTTTATATGTGTTTCTATAATATGCTAAATTCTTTCGGCCTTAGTCAATCAATACCTGACCGGGTCCGTATGGTCACAAGTAGACCTCATCAAAATTCAATAATTGTATACTCTTAAATTAAAGCAGATAAATGTTACATAACTACCTAAAGAGAAATTAAGGATGATGGTCCAAGCACAGTGGAAAGCCAGCAGAAGATTCCGCGGATCTTTCTCTGTATCCATGGACTGAATAAACCCAAACACAAAATCATTTCCCATTGTCTGTAGTTCTGTAAAACAAAAGGTTTGGTTTCAAATTTTAGCATAACTAGGTAAACAATGGTTAAGACATGCAATATTATGCATACAAGTATGTAATGGATATATGCCGAATACTGTTCTATATGTTAAATTATCAGGCTGTTTGAGGCCCGTTAGGGCCGAAAACAGTCTGATAATTTTACATACAGAATTGTATGAGGCATATATCTTACTTAAAACATTGCTATTTAAATGTCCAAAAGTTACCTGGAGGAGTCCGATAATTACACAATAAGAGTTCAGGCATCAATAGTTTTCTACCTGAAACCATCTAATAAGTAGACAAAAGAAAAGAGAAAGTTTTTTCTCTCTTTAGACAGTAAAATCAGTGAGGGAACTCTTTTGTTTCATTCATTCATTCATTCATTCAATGGCAGTCGTTTGGCTTAGCAGGAACTATGGACAGTGGTCAGGTGATGAAGGATTTTTTTATGATTCGGAATCTTTTTTTTTTAAGTGCGTTCGACATTGATACAGATACAGTGTTGGATGATATCTTCAAAATGCATTCAAAGTAAAAATGCGGATTTTTATCTAAAATTTTGATTTGATGATAGAATGAAAATCTTGGGTTTTAAAAGTGCGGTCATTGGAGAACAAACCTCGTTAAATGAAGTGATTCGCAGACTGGTTCTTTATCAGAAATGGATTTAAATTGGCTTATTCACAGTGCTGTATCGAAAACGCTTTGCAAAAACCAAATGGAAAGTGTTACTTTTGAGGAAGGTTAAAACTCTAGTTTCTTCTTGGATTCGCCATTTTTAACAACTTAATTTCCTCGTGTTCGCTTTCCCTGAATTTTTTCTCCCTAATTTTTTTTTTGGTTTCTGGACAAATTAAACCTTGATTTCACTCTCGTTGCAATTGTTGTTTTTTAACTACTGTCCGATTTTGTTATCACTGCCGTCCGATAATATGTTATTGGACTGTTAATTATTATTATCGGACGGCTACAGGTAAATTTTTAGACTGCAAGAACAAAGGCATGACGTCACAGCAATGTTTTAAATATATATATATATATATATATATATATATATATATATATATATATATATATATATATATATATATATATATATATATGTCTGTATATGAAAACTATAATTAAGGTAGTGTTTTACTGTTTACACTTAAAATACTTAAAATGATTCATAGATGTTTTCACATCAAATGCATGGGAATGCATTGGTAACTATTGCTGTATTGCAATTTGCAAAATGAGAGTGTATAAATAGTGTGTGAAATACAAGTAATATCATTACTTACCTGTGAGTTTTTTATCCAGTAGTGCTGTGAAGATGTTGAATACTGTACATCTGTCTGTCTGTGATAAGGACTGAACTTGTACCTCCTTAAACACCCCCTTACATATTGTCTCAGCACACCCCTCGGGTAGCTTAGATCCACTCCTTGTGATCTGTACAAAATTATCATCGAATTATTAAACATGTCATTTTATACCATTTGACTTGAACATAAATGTATACAGACCTTCTCATCTGGAACATTTCAAAATCTTTTATGCAGAGTAATTGCTTTAAAATTTAACATATATTACTTGTACATTTACATTGCAAATCAAAATTGTAATTATAAATACTAAACAGACCACTCAGTAAGTAGCCCTAATAAACTAAATGCTCTTTATATGCCTTTCAAGTATACATGTACATCTTCCTAGCATGAATAAGGGCAAGTGTTAAAAGGAATAAAAGTCAGTAGAAGTTCCTGTGTCTCACCAATCATTTAACATGAAACTTCAAAAAAAAAAAAACAAAAAAAAAAAAAACAAAACAAAAAAAAAAAACAGTGAGCAACAGGACTTTGCACATTTGACTCAGAAATGACTCAATTTCTTTCTTTTCTTTTCTTTCTTTTTTTTTTTTTTTACATATTTGAAAATTATATGTGCATGAGATCCTAGATCAGTGACAAATTCTGAGCTTCTAGTTCAAATGCATATTTATTCTTAGGCCTGTGTGTTTACATTTCATTGCAAATCTAATTAATGTAATATTAAATAAATTTAAAGTCGATCCAACTACACAGTCCTTGTAGTTATATAATATGCACACCAAAAAAATAGGTTGTTCAGGTAGGCAACACCTGACAAACATGGCTGCCAGTAACTCAAAAAAAAGGCAATTTAACTACACAGTCCTTGTAGTTATCTAATATGCACATCAAATCTATGTCATTCAGGTAGGCAACACCTGACAAACATGGCTGCCAGTAACTCAAAAAAATATCCACTGGGCTCTCCTCAAGAGCATATTGTAATGTGTGAATCCCATGATTCACCTATTGATATGATATGTGAGGACTGTGATGAATTCATTTGTGGTGATTGTGCGAAATCAAATCATAGAGATCATAACTGGAAAACTCTAACCACGGCAGCCACCCAAAGGAGGAGAGGTCTGCTTACATTTTTGAAGAAGATCAAGGAAAAGGATCTGCCTGGGATTGATGAAAAGATAGAAAAGACGTCAAAACAGATCACAAAAAATAAAGAACTGTGTGACTCTGAGATCAGAAGCCTACAGAAACATGTTGATGAGTTAATGGCCAGGTTGGCAGAAATCAAAAAAAGTCTTGAACAAACACTGAAAGACAACTTGGTTACAAAGAATGATCAATTGAACCTTGTGAAATCTGAGTTAGACAAAAAGAAGAAAGGAATTCTTAACACAGTTGAATTCATGGAGGAGAACAAAAGCACCATGTCAGATTACAGCTTGATTGACAAACACAGAGAACTGACAAAAATGCTGTCTGAATTGGAGGTTCATACCACAAACTGTGAACATTCAGTGAGGTTCATTAGAGGTGAAATTAATGATGACTTACTTGAGTCTTTGGTGGGAAAAACTTTGGATTTAAATGACATTGGTGTGACTCAAATAAATTCATTGCAATATGGAGATAATATAATACTTATCCTGGAGACATTCAGTGAAGACAAATGTTACATAAGAGATATTAAATTAAAATATACAGAAAAAATTACCAAGGATGGAGCAACAGAACATAGATTTAGTGTCACTCCTAATGACATGTGTGTGACTGATAACGGTGATGTTTATTGTACTGACTTTAGTAACAAGACCATCAGCTGTCTGTCACCATCAGGATCTGTCTCTACAGTCATCAGTACAGATCCACTGGGACCACTAGGAATCTGTCAGTCAGTGGACGGTGGACTACTGGTCACCTTGACAGATAAAGAATCAGATCTTTACAAATTAAACTCACAAAGTAGACGTCTGGTGAGACACATCACAATGACAGGTGACGTCATCCATGAGTATGAGTACCAGGAGGACGGTCAGACCAGACTATGGACAGTACCACTCAGAATCACAAAGAACAGTAACAGTGATATCTGTGTTGTGAACCGTACAAGTGGTACTACAGGTGAACTAGTGATTATGTCTCCCTCTGGTCATGTGAAGTCTGTCTACTGTGGACAGAACCTGACAGAGGACTTTTGGCCAGGTAATGTAGTGTGTGACTCCCTCTGTAACATCCTTGTTACTGACCCTGGCAACAAACAGATCCATCTGCTGAGTCCTGATGGAAAGTTCTTGAAGTTCTTATTGACAGAGAATGAAGTGAACTGTCCATACTCAATATCACTGTACAAGTCTACACTATGGGTGGGATATGATAAAGGGCTTGTAAGAGTATTTCAATACAGAGTGTAAAATATAACATATATGCATTGTGATTCTCATAGATAAGAGATTAACTGTTGTATAATAGAACATCAACAAAACTGTAGCGTGATACATGTAAACAGTTCTCATATTTTGTTGTCAATCAAACATATACATGTACACAATATCATGAGAACTAGCAACCATGCTTAACCCAAGCCCATAGGAAGACATTTCATTTGAGGGAGGGGGGCAAACATTTTCATAAAGTACCTCTGTTTTCTATAGTATACCATGTACATGATATATTGTGGCAAATATACTAGTATTTGGGGACACCCCCCCCCCCAGATGCCACCCTCCCCTTCCACTTGTTTTAATACAAAATTTCAGTTTATTTATGTTAAAATTTCAGTTTAGTTACATCATGTACATATGTATGTTATGTTTGATTATTCAAATCATATCAATTAGATTCAGTTAAACTTTGATATCTCAAACATCCCTGTTACAAAGCTTGAATGTATATCTTTATGTCATATTGATCTTGTGATAAAATTTACTGTAATATTTTTTACTTTAAATTATTTCTACAAATAAAAATTCAACAGTTTTTATTTGAAATTATTTTACTTTTGTTTTTTTCTAGAATTGCTATTTCTAAATAATATTAAGCTTAAGAAACCACTGTATCATTTCATTTCAAAAATAAAGTTAAGAACTTGAGCAAATATTATCACCTCAATATACAAGCCACACTTTAAGGAATTTTGGCTTATTTGACAATAAATATTTTTTACACAAGAATTGGACATTAAAAAGTTCTTTTGATGTCCATCTGCACAATTACCAGCAGTGTCAGGCCTGCGTATTGTCCCAAGCTAATTGTTTTTTGTAATGAGAACTAGATGATAAGGAATTAAAATATGTGTCAGACCTGGGGTCAATTACTTTGAAATGTAATGCATTAAATTACAATTACATAGGATTTTTTACCATTAAATTACCATTACTTCCATTCAGAAAAGTAATTAAATTACAATTACTTTGCTTAAGTAATGAATTACATTACACATTACATTTTATACGAAAATAAGACAAATTGTATGACCACACAATTTATTTCTAAATAAATTTTCTCACACTTTGTGCTTGGTTAATATGCATTCTCTAAGGTCAGTAAGTCAGAGTGGTATTTGGTATTTTGGATTATCATGTTCATGTAGTTTTCCAATCTACAATTGACAAAGAGAGTGGATTGTAATGCTATCAATGTTGCAGTTTTGTTCATTCTCCCATGTTAAATATTTTTTTAAAAATAAAAGATAAACTTCTCATACTATATGTTTTATGTAAAGTGATATTTAATTAACTGATAATGCTATAATTGTAAAATGAGTATGTATTGATAATTTATAAATCAGCACTTGTAGTTAGCTGGTCAGGCATAATCAATGAAGATATGAAAACACAATCAAAGATGATAATTACTGGCACCTAGATGTAGGGTTTGAAGTTACTGTTAGAGGTGACTCAAAAGCTACCAATTAAGGAATGTTTTTAAGTTTTGTGTGAGTTATTGGTGTGTAAATCACATAGACTTGTCACGTAGGCATATTTCATGAAGTGCACTAGATCATACTGGTCTTGTATCTTGCTTACAAAGTACTAGTCCATTTCACCAGAATGAACTTCATAAAAAGAAAAAAAAATCTTTTTGAAAAATATAGTTTGTATCTTAATTGGTAGTCAGAGTATACATGTACTAATGTCACTTGTTTTGAGGCTATATCTTTGAAACATAGTGATTTCTTTTAATTTTTTTTTTTTTTTTGGGGGGGGGGGGGGGGGGCTCTCAATTGATTTTAAAGCTGTCTTGTCAAAGAAGTTTTCTATTAAAATCATTATTTAGTATGTCTATCAATCACAATTGAATAAACATTTAAAAAAAATGGTCAAGAAAAGATTTTAATTTGAAGAATGTAAGATTATTAATAAAAGAAATAACCTATCAATAACCTTGATTTGTTTCAGATTCAACTAGAAATCTGACCAGTCAGAAAGGGTCCCACCGAGGGGTAGAAATATAAGGGTGCAGATTAGGGGATAGAATTTTACTTGCTTACAAAAATTTAAAGATATTTAAAGAAGAATAAGCAACAGCAACTGCTAAATATCCAACAACCTGTAAATAGTATCCTTGTATTTACATAAGGCAGTAAAAAACATATCTATAATAACTCAATTAAATGTATATTTAAAGAAGAATGAAGCATGTGTTTTCTAAAATGCCAGCCTTCAGTGAATGCAAATATCACCCAGGCTTGACCTTAACTTCAAAACAAACATCAGTTGCAGACAAAGGTGTTAATTAATCTTAAAGTGACAGAAACATAACCCTCTAAAATTTTTCTGCAACCAGCAAGATAATCAATCTCAGGGGACTAATTATACTGCTCTCTCAACCTTTTCTTCCAAGTTTACAATAAGAACTTTTTCAGAAATGATAGAATGAGGTTATTATCTGATTACCTGTTAAAATAAATAGAATTCTTGATTTTACATAAGGCAGAGAAAAGAAAGAAAAAATAAAAAATAAATAAAATTATTATAAAAAAAGATATCTTCATCTATATCTTGTTTTTAGAATTCAATAAAATCATAATTAACTCATTGTGTATTTTACCAAAATAAAGTATGAACATTATTTAAATCCACATATCAGAGAATGTAAACATCATTCAGAATTGACCTTAACTTCAAAACAAACTTCATTTGCAGACAGAGGTGTTAATTAATCTCAATGTGACAGATTAAGATAAATGCTTTGGATTTTCTTCAAGAGGAAATTTAATTAATCCCAAGAGACTCATTGCAGCCTTTCATAGTTTACAATAGGAACATTCTCAGCAGTTATCTCTCTTTGCCCGTTCACTCCTATATAAAGTTAAGGAATCTACCCCACCACCCCAGCTCCAAACTGGATGACACAGAGAACCAAACTTAGCATCAAAATATGTCTTACTGCCTATTCAACAAACACACTAAATTTGAACTTAATTGGTCAACCCTAAAAAAAGTTATTAGAAAAAAACAGAAAATTTGTGGACGGAAGAATGACAGACAGACAGACGGACAGACAGACAGATGGACATACAGACAGAGTGATTACTATAGGGCACCTGCAAATCCTTGTGGGGCCCTAATTAAAAAAGGGATTAAAATACAAAATGTAATTGAAGTGTAATTGAAAAGAAATGGTCATTACTGAAATTTTTGAAAGCAATGCTGCATTATGCTATAATTATTTGTAATTGAAAGAGGGCTCCATTACACATTACATATCCCGTTACTTTGAAAAAATGTAATGATTACAATGCATTACCATTACACAGAGTCAGGGAGTACAGAGTCGCGGAGTAAGGTGTTGATCCTTATGTCACAAGTTCAAATCCCACTGTGGGACGTGGAGACCGGTCCTTCGGATGAGACCGTATAAACCAAGGTCCCGTGTCACAGTAGGTGCTGGCACGAAAAAGATCCCTCACTGCTCAATGGCCCTGAGTGCAGAGTATAGGTAAAAAATTTGTAGCTCTCGACCGGCAAGTGGTGGTGTCTCCATATGAGTGAAAAATTCTCGAGAGGGACGTTAAACAATAAACAAACAAAACCATTACACATTACCATTACCCCAGATTTGCTCTCTATATACAGTCAATAACTGCTGAGCAGTGCTATAATGTCATTTGAATCGATATTATGCTTTGATTTATGCCTCGGTCAATATTGATACTCTTCTGGTGAATATCAAACCAAATTCACCACCAAAAGAGTCCATAAGTGTATAATATACTAGAAATATGTCCATAGGACATGAATGCCCCGCCGAGGGTATATTAGTAATGCAACATTTTAACACAAATCGAGAAAAGTGAGGTCAAGGTCAAAGGAAAGGTCAAGGTGAAAAAATATTGATGCAGTTGAATAGTTTACATCAGTATGTATCAGCATATGAAGTTTGACACTAATTTAAGAAAAGTGAGGTCAATGTCAAAGGAAAGGTCAAGGTCAAAAATTGTTGATGCAGTTGAAAAACTTACATCATTATGTATTAGCATATGAAGTTTGATAAAAATATTATGAATGGTTTCTTTAAAACTGAGCTAAACACTAATTTAAGATAAGTGAGGTCAAGGTCAAAGGAAAGGTCAAGGTTAAAAAATAGTGATGCAGTGGAATAGCTCTCATCAGTATGTATCAGCATATGAAGTTTGACACTAATTTAAGAAAAGTGAGGTCAATGTCAAAGGAAAGGTCAAGGTCAAAAAATGTTGATGCAGTTGAATAGCTTACATCAGTATGTATCAACATATGAAGTTTGATCACACTATCTTGAATGATATCTTTAAAACTGAGCTAAACACTAATTTAAGAAAAGTGAGGTCAAGGTCAAAAGAAAGGTCAAGGTCAAAAAAATGTTGATGCAGTTGAATAGCTTACATCAGTATGTATCAACATATGAAGTTTGATTACACTATCTTGAATGGTATCTTTAAAACTGAGCTTAACACTAATCTAAGAAAAGTGAGGTCAAGGTCAAAGGAAATGTCAAGGTCAAAAAATGTTGATGCAGTTGCATAGCTTTCATCAATATCTATCAGCATATGAAGTTTGATAAAAATATCTCGGATAGTTTCTTTGAAACAGAGCTAAACGCAAAGTGTGACGGAAGGACAGACGGAAGGACAGAAGGACAGAAAGACGGAAGATGGACATGACAAACACTATATGCCCCGGCCATATTCATGGCGGGGCATGAAAATTGTATTTGGCTATCATTGTGTAGCACAGTAATAAATGCTAATTATAACCTTTCATATTTAGGTATGCATTTCTTTTTTCCTTTCAGCATATATATGTATAGTGAATTAAATATATAGATATTTTCCTTCAAGCATAACAAAATTTTGTGAAGTATTATTTTCAAAAATAACCTTGAAGTGTTCATGTTTTCAAATGACTTCAATTTCAAATCAGTTAAATATTTTTAAAATCGAGGTCTTTGATAATTTGTTATAAAGAATGTAAATTTCAATCATTTTTTTCTTACATCTAAGGGACACAAATTCAGGTTGCTATATCCATGATTTTCTAGATCTGAGTTCCTAACAGTAAAATTTTACAAAGATTTATTGAGAAATTTGCTGGGGATTCCAAAAAAACTTTGCTATATCTGTAAATTTGCTATACATGTATCCATGTTTTTTGTATAAATGAGTTTTTCTGTAGTTGCAACTGGTAATTCCCTCATCAACAAATAAAGAAAGCATTTCATTGTCTAACACTTCTGGTCAATATGAAATAATGTTAAATGGAATTTTGTTAAAAATACTTCAAAATAATCATTGCTGAATCAGGATGAAAGTGGTGATTCATTATATTCAAATGTTTCTTATTTGATTTTAACTTTCAACATAGCCATTTTCACATCTGTTTTGTAACATACATGTGCACTAGTGTTTGTGTATAGGCACTGGTCGAAAACACGTGTCATGTACAATTATTTCAAAATGCTCTTATATACATAGATTATTTTTAATTGACTTAATCATGTGACCAACTCACTTCTCTATCCTTTGGATGGACAGAAATTGTTAAGAATGTTGATCAGAAGGGAGTGGTCCAGGAAAAAAATCATGAAAAAAATCACGGTATCAATAAATTATCCACATTAAGAAAATGTGTATTTCATGTGTTACAGAATGAAGATTAGGATATTTCCTATAGAGCCTAAAGGTCATGGTGCAGGGGTCGGGAAAAGACAAAGTATGCACGAAAGACTTTTTTTTGCATTTAGGGTGCAATTTTTCTTTCCTTTCTCTCTCTTTGTCACCTTCTATTGAGTTTTTTAATAGGGGTGAAATGATACTCCTCCTTCACGGTTCGATACGTATTGTATAATTTTGACTCGGTATGGTTATTTTCGATACGATACATTTTGATACAGAAGGAAACAAATTCAACATTGTTTTATGCTTTCTTTTAATAACTAAATCTAGTCACTTAATTTACGAATTTTATTTGCAAATTGACTAGAAGAAACTGATTAGAATGATTTGATTGTCAAAAATTATTTTACAAACTATCAGTCTTCAAAAATTTACGTTTTCTATACTTATTTATACTGAGTAACATGTTTTACCTTATGCCAAACCCGACTGAATAAAGATCCCGACCGAAAAATGAACCAAACCGAAAATTAGAGATTTTTCACCGTGTATCAAACCGAGAAAAAATACCGCGGTGAATCTATACCGCGGTGAACTGTTTCACTTCTATTTTTTAAGCCGAACCTATACCGGCCAAAAATTGAAGGGTATGGAAATCTAGAAAAATGCTTTCATGAAACTCCTATGCCTGTCGCGTATCTGAGGATCTATAAAATTAGGCGGTGTAAAGATGGAGCTTTGTAATTTTAACAACTAATAGAATACAACTTCCTCTTGCGATTCATTCCAAATATATTATGAGATCCTCCCCTGGGGTCCAGCACAGAGAGTCAGAATCTCTATTTTTCGCCATTACGCATTTTTATGCCATGGCCGTGGAAAGGATATCCAATAGATGTTTAGAAACCATACCTTGTTTCTGAAATAAGTATCGTGTTGTCTGTAATACTTACCAGTGTCAGGAGTCCCCTCAACACCTGGGGCTGTATGGAATGATGATCCTGAAGTCGCTCACACAAATAGGTCACCAACGACTTCACTGAAAAAACAAAAACAAAATAAATACTTAATGATGCGATGTCACTTTTGAAAATATGTATCATGATCTTATCTTTGTTTATTTCAATCAGTTTAAAAGGATTGCTATGGATAACTTTAGAACAGCTGTAAAGCCTAATTTTGATGGCACACTATGTTGACATTCTGTCAGATGTTTTAAATCAAAACATCAACAACAAAAATTGCTAAAATTAATGAAATTTAGCATGGTTGGAAAATAAGAAATTTTTGACAATAATTAATACAAGATGTCCATAGGCCACAATGCTCACCTAATTAATGGACCTTGTTTTTCATCAGCATATTCTTTTTCCTATACACTCATATAACTTTGTTCACCCATTGTAGCCCCACCCTACCCAAGGGGGTCACGATTTGTACAAACTTGAATCTACACTACCTGAGGATGCTTCCATATAAATATGGCTAATCATGGCTTTGCTGTTCTTGAGAAGAATACTTTTAAAGTCTTTTCCTATGTAAAACTTTGATTGCCCATTTTGGCCCCACCCTTCCTTCAAAGTCATGATTTGAACAAACACTACCTGTAGATGCTTCGATATAAATATGACTATCATGGTTTTGCCGTTCTTGAGAAGATTTTAAAGATTCATCCTATATATTCCTATGTTAAACTTTGATTGCCCATTGTAGCCCAACCCTACCTCTGGGGGTCATAATTTGATCAAATTTGAATCTACACTTCCTCAAGATGCTTCCAGATCAATATGACTAATCATGGTTTTCCTGTTCCTGAGAAGAAAATTTGAAAAGATTTTTTCCTATGTATTCCTATGCAAAACTTTGATCACATATAGTGGTCCTGTCCCATCCCAAGGGGTCATGACTTGTTCAAATTTGAATCTACACTATGATAGGAAGAGGTTCTTGAGAAGGATATTTTCAAACGTCCCAACCCAATTTTCACTTCTTAATTATCTCCCATTTTAAGAGAGTGTGGCCCTTTATTTAAAAAAAAACTTGTATCCTCTTCACCCAAGGATACTTGCCAGGTTTGGTTGAAACTTGCTTAGTGGTTCAGGAGAAGAAGGAGAAGTTCCAAAAAGTTTACAACACCAGCGATGACAATTAAACAACAACAAAGGCAGAAAGTGGGTAAATTTTGATAAGAAAAGCTTACTTGAGCCTTTGGCTCAGGTGAGCTAAAAATAGCATCATCCAAATCCATGACAATTATACATATTATATAAATGTCATTCTCTGGGCATGAACACAACAGAGGCTTACATATTCAATCAAAGATTAAAAGTGGCATAGAAAAGTTAAACAATTTATTTAATTAAAGGCCAAAGGCAAGCAAAGTTTAAATAATGATTTCTCTACTTGTATATGATTTAAGAATGAAAAATTGTAATACAGTTTACAGTATAGGAGAATGTTTCTCATTTACAGTTTACAGTATAGGAGAATGTTTATCATTTACCAATTTCAAGGTCAAGTTTGAATTTCAAGAATCCCAACTGATTTATCTATTTGATGTATGTAGTCAAAAAAAAAAATTATCTGAGAAGGCCATGTACAACAAAATCATTTACTAAATCCAAGGTCAAATGCCAAGATCAACTCCAATGGCACTACACTATTTGGAATATTGGCAAATATAATTTGTTGACATGATCGCTCCCTTCCCCCCATTCTTACCATAAAGAGAAGAATGACATTCAAAACAATTTTAAGCACAGTTAGGGGAAAATGTCAATGTCAAGGATGTATGATAAAAAACTCTAAATTATAAAATACCAAGTTTGTACTAAAAACAAATAAAAACTTAGCATAGTACTAGTACAGTTTTGACCATTTGTATGTTTGCACTCAGAAATATGTAGACATGATGGACAGACAGACTGTCAAAGAATTGGACATATAAAGTTATTCCTACATGCTAGGTACATAAAATTGAAAAAAAAAAATTAGAAAAACAATAACCTTGAAAAACCAGGAAACAAATCAAAACATTTGTAAATCAGATTCTACAACACATTATCCATCATATATGACCTATTTCATTTGTGTAGATACAGGAATACTAGTAAATTTATATGAAAATTTTATTTAAACCTAACTGTATTTATTTTTGTACTACACAATAATATAGGGGCTACAAAGATGGGTCACCTTCCATTGGAGACAGTAGTGTATTTGGGATGATAGCAATAACATCACACAAAAGTCGGATGACACGCCCCCTTATCTGGTGATCCTCATTGGTCAAATACTCCCTATGGAAGAAAAAGGTTTAGTTAGCTAACTATAAATATATACAAAAAATTGACAAAATAAATTATACCGGTATGCGTCAATGCTAATGTAGGTTAAGATTTGAAACTAAAAGTGTGGTGAAGTATATTTAGATCTACCATTAAATAATGTACTCAGTTACTCACCCAATATTTTCAATGAGTTCAAGCAGGGAGATTGACTTTCCTTGTAAGCCTACAAATTACACAAACTCTTGTTATCATATGAAAAAAATAGGAGCAAAATATTACAACATGAATTTCCACAATAAATGTTATAGAGGATTCACTATACTTGCTATATGAAATATTTTGTTCATCAAGAAATGAGTCTAGAAAAAAGAATAGCACACTTCAAAGAAAGCCAAAAGCTTTCATAAAAAAAAAAGTGTGATTGGAAGTATATTATTTTCTTATTTTCTTGATAAAAAAAGTACTTTATACAGTTTATACAGTTAATGTTTATAATTCAGTTTTTGAGGTGAACATGCCAAATTTCACATGCATACTTCATATCTGTCAACCTCCATAGTCTGTGCACGAAATTAAAATGCCAGCAGCTGTGTAGAAATACATGTATACAGACTGAAAAAGTATACAACAGAGAGGTTTCACAAAACAATTTAAATGTGTAAGTACATTTAGCAGGGGAAATATGTGCATTACATCATCACTTTTTCTTATGATGAAATGTTACACATATTTTACACAAATTTAAACATATGTGTAGATCACTACTTGTAAGTGCAACTTGAAACTTATTTCTTATTTTCTGTTTATTTTAATCAAAGTGTGCATTTTTCTTAAACCTCAAGATTTAACTTGCAAGTACTGATATGTTTTTATGGTAAAATATTATTTTATTAAGGTTAAATACACTTATCTTGAATTTCAAAACATGTATTAAGGAATCAAGGTTATAAGAATTTTTTTTTTAAATTTATCTTTATAAATATTTGCATATATTCAATTAAAATAGTGATGTACATTAAAAACTTAAGTGAATAAACTTAAAAATAAAAAAAAAATGAAATTATCCAAAGATAAAGACCTTTTCATTGAAAGCACTCACAAGTGCACTTATAATTAAGTTGTAATAGCTAAACAAGGAAAGTGATGTTAACATGTACAATGTACATGTAATTCTAATGTTCTGTACATATACATATACACATATGCATAATTTGCTCTGCGAAACCTCTGACTAATTTCTCAGTAGCAGATCCAGTAGTGAAACTGCCAAATTAATGCATATAACTATTTGAATGTATCATTGACAGGGGGGAAAAGGCAACCTCCATTGAAATTTTTTCTTTACAATAAATCACATTTCTAATTAACATGATTAATGAATATGAATTAATCTGCACATGCCAATGCTATCAAAGTGATAGCTTTACACAGTAAACAGTAAAACATGTCAGTAAGTGATGAAATATAGTCACACTTCCAGTGGAGTTCTAGGAAAAACATTAAGATTCACAAAAGAATCTTTTGTTTTGTATGAAAATCATCAGCATAACTATAAATTTGCTTGTTGATACATAAGAGAGTACTTGTACAATCTGATTATCTACCTTCTACTTTCTTACTTATAGCGACTAGCGAGTGCAGCGAGCTCAATGAGTAACATGTAAGAACAGAGGAAATTCGGAATGAAATCTGTACATGTATACGTCAGGCAAATTTTCTTGTGCAACATTCCCAGAATTCCATCACTACCAGGGTTCCATGCGAAATTATTTCAAAACATACAAAAGACCATCAAGAGATACGTTTACTTTTATTTCTTTGCAGAGAGCTTAATGAGGCCGAGTCTAATTATTTCTACCCTAGAGATTTTGATAAATTTTCCTGAATTAATTTTTACTAATATATTATATTTATTGTTTTAAGATTAAAAAATTGAATGTTTACCATCCTGATTTCTTAGGGGGCCATCTCAAAAGTTGTCAAATTTTACTATTGGACCCTATGGGAATAATTTGTTCGAAAAGTGTCAAATTATCATATTTTTTCCATATTTTTTGTATTTCTGCCCTAGAGATTTCTTTTTCAGCCAAGTACATGAAAGTTATTGTAAAAAGTCACCAAACTGTGAAATTTCAAAAAAGTTGACCATCTAGGTTGGTGTAGGAATTATTACAAAGTTTATTTTTTTCAATGCCCAATACCTCTAAAATTGCCATATTGCAGTATATGTATATATATCAGTGCAGATGAATTATCTGGGCAGATGAATTATTTTGGTATAAAATACCAATGTTTAGATTGCTAGTATGTTTCTTTAGATGTTCTATCAACAGTTTTTAGTAAATTATCCATGGACATGTTGAATATACAAGTGAGTCATGTGTCATTCTTTAGCATCATGATTTGTTAGTAAAATCAGAAAACAGTGACGTCGTTAGAGCCATTTCAGCGGTTTATTCCAATTATTGTTGTGAAAGCATAATTTCAGACCCATAGGTGTTACAGATAATGTTAATTTTGTATTAAAATCACAATATTGGGAAAAGGTGTAATGTCGCAAATATGACTGCATGAAATTAAAGATATACACGCTATATAAATGTGATTTTTTATGTGAAACAAAATGATTAAATGATTTGAGAAACATGATGTGTAATAAAAAATAATTACTTTCCACAAAGTTTTAATAAATAATTAAGTCGTTGTAATTACAAAACAATTAAGCAAGATCTGCAATTCAGAATTCAGCCTATTCATGAATATTGATGAAGGAAGTGCGTAATCAGTATATAGACACGCATGTCTGCGGGAAATCATAGACAACGAGGTACGTTGCATTCCGACTACTATTTTGAATAAAAGTTAATATCTGTCATTACAGAGTAGATGGTTAATAATGGTTGTTTTCAAAGATAAGTATCTTTAAACAAAGAACGTATGCCATCCATGTCAACAGCTATTTTGTATACCAAACGGCCTACCTCGTTTTCTTGATGCCATTTTTGTTTATCAATCTAAAAGTAGCGACGGTGTCACATGATGCATGAATTTAAATATAGCATTACTTTCCTAGTAGGATAATGAATAATTATAATTTGAGATCTTTATAATGCGTTCATTTCCAATTGTGTAATTTACAATATTTTCATAACTTTATTTGGTAAACAAAATAAATAAATTTCCAACTTTATTTTTAACTGACGCAAGTTATAGCATGTATATCTTTAAAAAGCTGCGCAATGTCATGTGCACTCGAATTAAACTTGGCCTCATTAAAAGAAACAAAAAACAATTGCATCTACTCTACAATGTATTTCATTTATTTTTGCACAAGAACTGTAGTCTCGTTCAACTTCGGCTGTCTCCGAAAATTCCGATATCATGTGACGTCACACTCTAGACTGTGTCTCATGCGGTTTGAAGCTTGAAGATCAACGTTACAAGTGTAAGCTGTGTATATAGGTTTTTGATGGTACAAGTACACAACTGCGCTCGAACCCAATGGTCACACCGTAAAACATATTAAATAGACAAGATGTATATATCAAAATACAAAAAATAGAGATGTAAATATCATAATGCAGAAAACTGAAAGCTCAGAACAAGACAACCTATTTACTTAAAGCTATATAGCTATATAGTTAGTATCTAGATTTCCATTAAACTACTTGAAATTCAATCCTAGGTCAAACTTTGAAGATCATCATTCATTAAGCTTAAATTTTCTATAATATTAATCCTTTAGGTCAAACTTTGAAGATCATCATTCATTAAGCTTAAATTTTCTATAATATTAATCCTTTCTGGCAAATAATGATAAAACCAAATGCACAAACCATTGCTTAATGTTTCTACGGCAGAATTATCCAAAAGTTTGATATATTTTGTAACTTCGTTCCTCCACATGGGCGCAGCCATCTTTAAAATGAACACGAAAGATAAAAATGCTTTGAGCAATAATACAGATTCCGGATTTAAGAGTCGTTTTCTTATACTTGACTGAAATGGTTCTATGCTAAAAAAAATAGCTAAAAGTATAGATAGTGAAATAAAAGTAACACTCTGCGAAATAAATAAATACATATTTTCATAACTTCTACTATCTTTTTTTCCGGAAAAAAAATTCTCACTGCAACGGTTTGTTATTTGTATTTTTTCACTTTTTAATATTTTTAAAATTAAAAAAATCATCAGCTCTAATGTCTCTTAATTTGAGGACTGTTATAGTTTAAACACGAATATTTTACAATCAACATTCGCTAAATTTTTTTTTACTAATACTAGCCAATCAAATCACGCCTTCATCGATCGCCGGCGCATCAATATATTTGTGACAGTACACAGAACGTCAAAAATTGAGAAAATAACTCAGCCAGTTCAAGTTAAGCGAGGGTCAATAACAGCATAAACTCAATACCCCTCCTGTTTGAAATGGGAGGATGTATTGGGTCGAATCGCGAGAACGGACCGTCGTCTGGGGAGTCGTCAGATGCAGCAGGTAACCGGGGTACAGCCCCAGCTGTTTGTCAGCTGTTTATTGAGGCCTAGGAAATGTAGGAATAGGAATGTATTTATTTTTACTGTCACCTTAAAAGCCACACATTTATTGTTGATCTGGTGAAGGGTAATCATTAGCAGAGGCTCAGACAGTGTGCTTCTGTAAAATTCAAGAGAAGGCAGTTTTAAAAATAAGTATGACGAAAAAAGATCTTGTGAATTTCAAGATGTGTTTCCCAAAGCTTTTGATTTTAGTATCTTAACCACAGGTGCTTGAGGACAGGACCCCCCCCCCCCTCGATATAGACCCCTGGGCCTGTTTGACTTTTTTCTCATAAATTATATATGGATGACACATTTGTGATATAATTAATCTATATCATCAACAGAAAATTGGCTGAAACAAACATTTTATAAAAATTAATACCCTACTCTATATATATAAATTAACAAGGTTGCCAACTTCGTCTGCAAACTGAGAGGCACTGCCGAGGAATTTTTGTTGAATTGTCTCATAAATCTACACATAGCCCTAAAATCAACAACTCATGTCGTAGGTTAAATGTTCTTTTCATTAACCACCAACTCTCATAAAGGTTCAGGCATATCAAGTTGTTTCGGCCAATTTTCCACAAGGATGTTAGCGTTTTTAATCTGATCAAAGCTTAGTCAACGGAAGTAATGAGGATAGGACTTTCTACCCAAATTTAAAGGGACGGTCCCTAAATATTTCAAGTCTACATATATTTCGTAGAAATGTTAGAAAAAAAAATATTTCCTTGATTAAAAATTCGTACAAAAAACAAGAATGTGTCCATTGTTTACACCTTGCACTTTTATTTGGTTATATGGTTCTGCTTGGTGCAGCCATGGGTTTCAAGGGACAGTATTAAAACGTGGTCTGAGACCACAAAACAGAAATTTCAAGTCGTAATATCTATCCTCGTCTCGCTCTTCAATTTGTTTTTAATAGCATCTCATGCCTTAGATTATTAGGGCCAGTCACCTATTCCATTAAATTGGTTAAGCTTCATGATAAGTAATGTAATTGGGGCATTTGTTTAAAAAATCCCTTGTGATTCAGGTACCCAGTTAGAAACCATAAATTCTAACTGCAGGGTCTTTTGTACACTTAAATAGAAATGGCTTAGATCAGTAGGTGAATTATAATAAAATACAGTTGAACTTCCTTATCTGAAGTACCATGATGTGAATTTAAATTCTCAACCTCTTTTTCTTTATATTTTTCATCTCAAAATCTCTAATTATCGGATATCTCTTTTTTTTTTCTCTAAAACCATAGGATTTGAGAGTAACAAGATTTGGCTGTATCAGTGATTTATAACACATTCAATATGTAGTAAGTTAGAACTAGAACATGTATTGCTGTCAAAAGTAAGAGGTGGTACTCTTTTATAGAATACAGTCAAACCTTGTTATCTCATGGGGCATAAGGGAAAAGTTTGCTATTCCTAAAGATTTGAGATATTTAGGTTAAAATACACAAAGAAAAAGTGGTAGGGACTTCCAACTCAATTTAACTTAGGATGTGTCTGACTCTGAGATATGGATGTTTTATATATATATTTATATATATATATATATATATATATATATATATATATATATATATATATATATATATATATATATATATATATATATATATATATATATATATACATGTATATATATTAGGGATGTCAAATCGGTCAATTTTTGATAATTGGTTACTCGGACGTTTTTCCGATCGAGTACCCAGGTACTCTGTAAAAAGGAAAATACATACAAGTGTGTTAATTTTCTTGAGCCCGGTTAAGCTCTGTTAAACCCCAAAGCTGTTTTTTTTTTCACGTTTATAAATGTGTATAAACAGTTGAGTCAAAGGGAAATGATTTTTTGGTACTAAATTTACTTACCAAATAAACACAAACGACACAATTAATACATCAAAAATTACAAATGGTTTACAGTTTTTGTTTAGGATCTATTTCATCAACACAAAAGGAAGACAATCTGTTATGCAGGTTTGTGGTGATTAGACTAGCGAAAGGGAAGGAACGGACGTTGTTGGGATCGCTAGTATAATATCATTTCATATGTTGGTTGTTTCCCGCATATACACTAAACTTACGACGCAAACTGACTTTCAACATTTTTTTAAACTTTAGTTGTTTTTAATATTTCTTCTTTTTTGAAGTGGGTAGCGGCATTTCTAATGCATGTCCGATTTCGCTACCGCATATCAATTAAATAATTTAAAAAACGAGTTAAGATTGTAGACCATACTTAAACTATGTTCACTGAAAACAATCATTGAAGCCATCCAAAAATTAAGGACCACAATATAGGTGAGAACAGCTGTGTACCAGGTGATTGGTCACTAATTACTGTATATACACAGCCACAGGCGATAACGGGTGTTTTACAGGTGTAGATGACGACACGTCAATTACCGTATGCATATTTAAGTTATTGATAAATTTTTGATAAAAATATGTAGTTTGAAATAAGAAAAAAATACACTTCCGAGTAACCGAGTACCATTTTTAGTATTCGATACTCGGACGTTCGATCGAGTACCCAGTTAACCGGGTACTCGTTGACATCCCTAATATATATATATATATATATATATATATATATATATATATATATGTATATGTATATATATAAGGTGAACTGTAAGTGGAACTTACTTGGAACTTACTTGAATTTCTTGTGTACACGAGTGTGAAAACTCCAAAATGATTTACCATTATGGACATAGATTTTCTTTTTTATGTATACAGAAATTTATTCTTGTATATTTTCACTTAGTTTCTATAGGGAGGAATCAACCTTTAAAACCAGAGAAACCCAAGTGGAAGAGTGAGGTCCCCTTGACTGAGGGTCAGTTGCGGTCCAAGCGGGATGAGTTTTGGGACACAGCCCCTGCCTTTGAGGGAAGAAAGGAGATCTGGGATGCACTAAAAGCAGCAGCGTATGCTCTAGAAACTGGAGATCATTCCCTGGCACAGGCCATTATAGATGGAGCTAACATATCACTTCCTCATGGTATAAACGTTATTAAATGATGTAGTGGAAAAGGGATGGAGTCATTTGAAAATTAATACTAGTTTTTATATTGGTTGGAAACCTTAGCTCTTTGTCGGTCCTTTGACATGAGAGGTATTTTTGGGGATAAAACATATATATCCTATTGTTAAACCTACAGTGTAGCGATTTGTTATGTCAGAAATCATATCTGAGATGTGTCAGTTGGAGGTCAAAAACACTCAAATTTAACTTGAATCTTCAAGAAATTTTAGAATGATATAAACATACTTTTTCCCACGGGGTCAAAATTCAGCAGAATCACAATTTCTGTTCAATCCACAGGTAGAGAATTAGGCAAAATTCTTAGATTGCCACTATATGCCTTAAGTATACTTTAGGTACGTTGAGACAAAGTTCCATCATGATGGAAAATTTGTGACTGTGTACATAGCGTAAATTAATACAGCACGGAAAAAAAGTATGCCTACAGTATATAGAAATGTCAGTAACAATATAGGCTTATGCAGTGAATTCATCCATCCTGTAATAAAAGTACTAATGTATATCTTCAAATTATAAAAACATATTTTTGACAAACCACTGTGTATTTGAACCTAACAATAAATTTCAATAAAGTAATCTTATAATACTGTCATATTTTTTTTTTCAACATTGTACCACTAGCCTTTATAGATTACTTGTCTTTGCAATTTTGTTCGGGTCATAACAGAAAAAATGCCTAGTATATGTCTGGTCAATAAGTTTGTAAGATACTAATTATATTAAGCATTGGAAACTAGTATCTGATGACAGATATTATGCTTTAAGTTGAGCTAGGTCCATGGTTATTTTGGTATTATAATTTCAAGGTAACTTTAAGGGGGGAAAAATTGTCAAATTCATGCCCTGTGTTAAAAATAATTTACTGATCAGAAAGCCTATACCTGATACAGAAATTGCTACATGTAATGACCCAAGGGTGTGACATAACCCTGACCCAAAGTCATCTTAACAAGGCTACTGGCAGATCAAATCCTTGAGAATAAAAAATGAGATGTCTTGAGAGCACCATTTCATCACATCATTCACAGTGTATCTTTGAAGAATATAATGGAAAGGAAATCTGAAATAAAACATGTTGAACTCAAAGAATTAAATGTAATTTTACCTTTAATTTCAGGAACACTGATGGACAGTTATGATGAGTTAGGGAGCCGCTACCAGCTCCCTGTTTATGTTCTGAGTGCCCCTACAAACTTAATTGAGGATATTAGTGAAAGTGAGGCTGGAGCTGACTCAGAGAACCAGTCACCGGGACTAGAAATTCCTATAAAGTTCCGAATCTCCACTTCAAATAAAGACCTCAAGCTTTATGTTAGGACCACGGACACTGTGCTGAAACTCAAAAAACGTATCTGTGATGAAACGGGCATTGAGCCACGCCTGCAGCGCTGGTTCTTTGCTGGGCGACTTTTGGGTGATAAACTAAGAGTGGAGGATGCCCGGATTCCAAAATCTTACGTAGTTCAGGTGATAGTGGCACCAGAAGCTGGGGACGGAACTACCTAATTCATGTCTTTCTGTTTTTTATTTTGTTCTGTTTTGACTTGAGAATTTTTTACGCTTTGTATAATCATGAAAATTCGTTGTTCTCATGTTTTATTACAGTCCTTGTTTTTTTTTTTCTTATGATATAGAACAAATGAAGTTGTTATGAAATATTTGGTATGTTTTCCTCTTTCACTTAAACTAATATGAAAATTAATCATGTTTAGTAATTTTTTTTTCGAAAAGGTTTGGCATAAAAAAATTTGCTTTACACAGCAATTCTGTTTCTGGTGAATTTAAGGTTCACTAATCCTCTCATAAATGAGATAACCCTCACTGCAGTTAATGATTTATTGCCTTATTAAAGTCTAAGAGCAATTTTTGTCAAATTTGCACAGCAAGATAGGCAGATATTGTAAGCATTTCAGTTCTTTTGGAAAAATAATTATCATGACATTGTACACCTGTAAAATGAAATTTTATATGCATGAATAGAGGGATGGTGAACCTTAATATAATGATTTTTTTTTTCGCAACATGAGTAAAGTATAAATTCAAAATTCTTCTACTTCTGTTTCTGTCCCAAGAATTGGGATAAATTGCATCTTTTTATCATGCATTTGGTATGTTTGGTATATCATACGTTTCCTACCAGTATCTTGTGAACCCATGGACTTCAAGAAAATTATTCATGATAATCAGTTGACCCTTACCGATTTCCAGTTCAAAAGGTCAAATATCACATGGTTTTCTGCCATATCTTCTTGAAATGTTGTTATAAAACAAATCTTGTTAATTTTATCCTTCATAGTCAACCTTTTTTTTATATACAAGTTGGGCATAGTAATGTGATGACCTTAATTATTTTAAGGCTAAAGGTCAACAGCCTTTTAATTTAGTGTTGTCCAATCAGCATCTAAGGAACTAATTGTTTGATATAGTAAGCAAGCTTTATATTAAGATTGGCTATTAGAGATTGTTGATTTATTTTATCAGAAACTTCTCCCCTTTTTCTGGGAATTTCAAATACAAAAAGACCACTAAATATAAAATTTTGTAAATCTGACTCATTACTTTAGAGGCACATGTGGCTTTGTATTTCATTCAACTCCTTTCTCTTATTTTTGTTTAGTATTAAAAAACTATTGTAGAGGGAAATTTTACGCAAATTATTTCTCCAATTAGTGTTTTGTTCAGAAAACCCCATTTTTAGATTTGAACATGTACTATATGTGAAAAATGTACTCACTGTTCATTGTTGTCTGTCAGATTTTCCCTGAAATTGCAATTTATTTCATGTACATTGAACATTAACTTCTTCAATATGCATGTATAGGAGAAAAAATAATAGATGTTTGTTATTGTAATGTTAGGAAATATACAAAGTTTGTGGAGGTAAAAGTTGTTAATGAGATTAAATTGTTTTTATTGCTTCATCTCTTGTTAAGTCACAAATCAAAGATGTATATATATACATTAATATCATATTGTATGAATGTTTTGAGGTCATTTTTTTATCATATTTACATGTATATTTCAAAAATGTTCATCACAAATGTATTTTTATGTACCCAGATTCAAGATTGAAGGATCAATACAGTAAAACACAGTTTATTATAATGAAATCACACTTACAGCAAAGTGATATGCATTCCTTATAGTTTTAAATCAAATTAAGAACTTATTGGTCTTAGGGAATTATGTTCATAACTTGTTTTACTGTACACTATTCTGATAGTGCTAGCTTGAATAATTTACAGATATTATATACATATATGTGAACTCTAAAGGCATTAAATAGAAAGCATTTTATTTTGAATGTTTAAAAATTGCACACTTTTTTACCTAACTGTTGTGAAATGTGGAAGTTCTTCTTGTGTATGTGTGTCAAACACAGTTTTTTAAGCAGTTACTTATATAAGTTCCTTGAAAGTATTTCTTTTTCTGTAAATCTGCATGCAAGAAAATGACCAAGGCCATAATTTTATGAATATAATGGCACCTGTGTTTGTGGGTTTGTATGTAAGGAAAAGCACTCATTCAGAGTGTTAACAACAGAAAAAATTGCAGTGAAAAGTTTGAGAGATAAAGACAAAGTCATATTCCTCAAATGCTTATTTTATATGAACATATGGCCAACACATATTGTGTATTTGATATAGGCATTTATGAATATGTCATGTTTATCAAAAAATAAGCCCAACCTTGTCATTATCTTAAAAAGACGTTGTGATTCTGTCATTCAAACTTCACTTTACACATTATATGTACTTTTTCTTGTGTTGTTACTTGAAAAATACTTTTCAAGCCTTAAAGTTTTTATTGTCTTTATTTCCCATAATGAGAATTGTCATGTTCCCCTATCCGTTTTAACTAAAGAAAAGTAAGACATATATTGACTATTTAGCATTCACAATTAAAACTTCAGAAGTCCTTTTTAGTATAGTGTAGGTGCAGTTTGAATTTTGCTTGTGCAATATTTGTTTCTATTACTGTGGTACACAGTTTTTATATACTTGAGTAACATTTAGATATGGCCTTGTAAATGTCTTTTTAAACACTAAAAAATGTCTAGATCCAGAAGAATGTTCTTGTATTCATAATGATATAATTGTCAATACAATAAAATTTATTTCTCCATATAAATGTAAATTTTTGATTGTGTATAGTTGACCCACTTACCCTTTTTAGTGTACCTCAGTCTCTCAGGTGACCTATTGCTATCAGATTTTATGTGTCATCCTCCATTGTGTGTTAACATTTGAACATTTAATATCAGCTTCTCCTCAAGAACAGCTTAACCAGTTTTATAACGTCTCTTGGTGAAGGGTAACAAAAATTGTGAAATTCATGGGACCTGCCCCTATGAGACCTTAGGGTTGGGGCTAAAACCATTAAAATTAATGCAATCTTTAAAAATCTTCTTCTTTACTCCTGGACATTAAGCAGTGAAACTTGTCATGATTGTTATAAGCATTAAGCCCTCTTCCAAATTTTTGAAATTCATGGCCCGTAGGTCAGAGGTTCTGGTGTTAGGGTGGGGCTATATTGATCATAAAGTGAAATGATCAATTATCTTTATTCTCTATACTCAATTCTGAGTACATGTATTAAGCAAACAAACTAATTGCATAGTTATGATGAGCAAGGGGCCTACTCTAAAATTGTGAAATTCATGGCCCCAGGGGTTGCGGTGTTACATCAAGGCTCTATACTTCAGTGGATTCTTTACCAGGACTGGATATTGACAGGGAATTTTGTATTGCAATATACTGTGATAGATTCAAAATTGTTCAACTCTTGTCTCCTGGGGCAGGATGGGTGTACAATAGGTGATCAAAGTTTACTTAAATTGAAAAATATAGGGAACAAGATGTGTTTGTGAAACACTGATGCCCCCGTATGGCAGCTTATGGCGAAGGTTAAAGTTTCTCAAATGCAAGTCAAAATCCAGGCCAAAAGATAAATGTTGGTACCCAAAGAAAGGTCTTGTCTCGAGGAATATACCTGTGAAATTTGAAAGATCTAGCTGCAACTGTTCAAAAGTTATGGCGAAGGTAAAAGTTTTTTAAAAGTAAGTAAAACGTCAAGGTCAAAGCAGTTAGTATCCAAAGGAAGGTCTTGTCACAAGGATTACAAATGTGAAGTATGAAAGCCCTAGCTCCAGCCATTCAAAAGTTATGGCCAAGGTTAAAGTTTTTCAAAAGTAGGTCAAACTCCTAGGTCAAGGTCAAAGGTTAAAGAGGTTGATATCCAGAGGAAGGTCTTGTCACAAGGAATACACATGTGAAGTTTGAAACCCCAAGCACCAACTGTTCAAATGTTATGGCCAAGGTTAAAGTTTTTCAAAAGAAGGTCAAACTCCAAGGTCAAGGTCAAAGAGGTTGATATCCAAAGGAAGGCCTTGTCACAAAGAATACACATGTGAAGTTTGAAACCCCAAGCACCAACTGTTCAGAAGTTTTGGCCAAGGTTAAAGTCTCATAAAATTTTGCAAAAGTGGGTCAAACTCCAAAGTCAAGGTCAAAAGGTCAAATGTGATGGTACCCAAAGAAAGGTCTTGTCACAAGGAATACACATGTGAAATATGAAAGTCATAGCTCCAACCAATCAAAAGTTATGGGCAAGGTTAAAGTTGACAACAGACAGACAGACAAACAGATAGGACAAAAACAATAATCTTTCGATCCGGGGGCAAAAAAATATTTAAGAAACTTTTGAGAACCACTGGACCAGAAAAAAATAAAACTTATCTGAAAGCTTCCTGAGGTAGTGTAGATTCTAAATTGGTTAAAACATGACCCTTGGGGTAGGATGGGGTTGCAATAGGAGATACATTATATATATAGAAAAACAATTCTCAACAAGTGCTTGACCAGTAAAGTATGTAAAAGCTTCCTGACATAAATAAAGATTCTAGATTGTTCATATCTTGCCCCCCCCCCCCCTCGAGTAAGGTGGTGCTACAATATAAGTGATCAAAGCTTTACTCTGAAATCTCTAGGCCAAAATCTTTAAAGATTTTCTTCTCACGAACCACTTGACCACTTAACCAAAAAAGGGGAAATTTTTGAGAAAGATTCCTGACATTATAAAGGTTTTAAATTATTCAAACCATGTCTACATGGATTAGGGCTGTGTCACAATTGAAGATCAAAGTTTTACATTAAAATGAATAGGGTTCAAAGAATTGTGGTCCCCCGCTTTCGGTGTCTTTGTGGATGGGGTGAATTTATTTATGGCATATTGTTACTTTCTTGTTTGTATGTCCTGTATTGTAACATGAAGGTCAATGTCAAGGGGTCAAAAATCATAGCATGCTCAGAAATATCTTGTCACAGGTAAAGCACATGTCAAATATGAAAGCCCTATCTTTTCTCAATCAGAAGTTAAAGGAGAAGATAACATTTTTGAAAAGTAGGTCAAACTTCAAGGTCATGGGTCAAAAAACCATAGTACATTTGGAAAGGTCTTGTCACAGGTAATGTACATATGTCATATGAAAGCTCTGTCTTTTCTCATTCTCAAATTTTATGACTAATTTAAAGTAATGTTAAAATGTTTGAAAAGTAGGTCAAACTTCAAGGTCAAAGGGGCCAAAAAACTATATTTGAAATTGTTTTGCCATAGGTAATGCACATGCGAAATATGAAAGTCCTATCTCTTCTCAATCAAAAGTTATATGCAAGGGTAACATTTTTGAAAAGTAGGTCAAACTTTAAGGTCAAGGTCACGGTGTCAAAATCATAGTAGGATTTGAAAGGTCTTGTCACAGGTAATATACAGATATAATATAAAAGCCCTATCTTTTCTCTGTCAAAAGTTATGACCAATTTAAAGTAATGTTAATTTTTTTAAAAGTAGGTCAAACCTGAAGGTCAAGGTCATGGGGTCAAAAGTCATAATATATTTGGAAAGGACTTGTCACAGGTAATGTACATGTGAAATATGAAAGCTTTATCTCTTCTCATTCAAAAGTTATGACCAAGGTTAAAGTTTTTGTGACAGACGGACAGACTGACAGACGAATGAGATTTAATGTCCCCTCTTTTTCGCGAAAGTGGGGGACAAAAATATGAAATGTGAAAAAAGCGACAATTGGTCTTTCAATAAATATTTTATACGAAACTGACATTAACATCAAACCCTACCCCCGAATACTTCGTGTATCTGTAAACAGATTTTTAAAATATGAACCACAGTTTAATGAAATAATGGACCCGTTAATCATAACAAAAGTCTCTGATGAGACTGTAGCTTTACTAAAAAGGAAGAGAAAAAGAGCACTTGGACTTGAAATTTTGCAACAACAATAATTAGAATAACTAGAAACTCATTGCGAGCAATGAGAGGTCTTCCGTCCAATTTTGAAATAAAAATGTAAATTCAAGCTGAAAAAGTGAAATAAAAAATTACAGACACTCTGGAGATTTAACCCTGGTCGTCAGCGTTAAAATCCAACGTGCTAACCATTACGCCATTTCAACGCCCGCTTCAAAGTGAAAATGACGAAAATCAAGAGATTGGTTTGATCAATTCGAAAACAAATTATATATGTAGTATTTTGAAAAGAGGCTGCCTTAACCCTACAGATATTACAGAAAAATATTGAAGATGAAAAAATCGATTTTTTAAATTCGCTTCTGCAAGCGACCGGAACTAACGACGACGCATGAAAAGATCCCTTCGCCAATCTAGAAATCATGTTCTATCATCTCTAACAAAAAAAAAACCCACTCAACATCATTTATAAAGTTGAAAACGTAAATTTGTTTTGTTTTGAACATATTTTATTGAGTACATCAAAAGGATTGGAAACAAGTTCTTTACAACTTACAAAGTTCCTCTCCTTCACGTAAATTTAAGCAAACAAATTCAGGATTAAACCCAGATCGCCTTCGTGAAAATTCAATATGGAAACCACTACACCAGTGTAATTTTACCAGCCATCATCGATGTTTACTTTGTATAATTTTACCAGCCATCATCGATGTTTACTTTGTACCATTGCCTGAAGTAGCGAGCGTCAGTGAGGTTAAAAGTTCTTTTATATAGTGCGGAATTATAGAATGAGACTTAGCTAGCCAAATTTTGTGCAAGCAGATTCACACCGGAATTCGTTACTTGAGTTTAAACAACAAAAAAAAAAAACATTACTGATGAACTGATGATACTGTTTACTTCTTTTATTCTTTATGTATTCACATTTTATTCCATGCAATTCCATATACCTGTATTTCAAACAAATGTGTCCGTGTAATCTTTTTCTGCACTTTTGCATCAGACCATTTTTCTACTATGAAAGAAGAGTCACGATACATTATTTTGCGCCAATCGTGACGAGTAAATCTTTGCGCCTTTTCTTTGATATGTATTTTCTATTGAATGGTTTCCATTCTCATATATATTATTGTATGTACCGTACAAATTACTCATTTTATTGCATTTGGAGGTCAGAGTATCTATGTTTTTAAAAACAGATTATCCATTTCATAATCTGCCAGATCCAACAAAAATTCCTTCATATTTCATTGATCCTATTGGTAGTTTCGATCAACAAGACGCTCGGCTTTCTCCGTAAACTCCGACCTGCCAATCGGTAATCTTCGACTGACTCAGCTACGCTCCATACAAACCTCGGAAGTGATTGGGGAGAAAATATGCATCAAATCGATTACATTTCTCCGCCAGAAACTGCCTTGTAACTCATTTCATATTTTACTCAGCATAAAGTTCTTCAAACATTTTTTTCTGTTGTCTAATTCTTCCTTGAATATTGGTTTTGATCACAGCATCATGTAAGTAGTCTTTGAAA